AAGTGTTGTCTAGGAGCGCAAACCTATGTATGCCTAGACAGAGAAAAATCCTGCAACTCCCAGCATTCAGGCTGACTGTAGAACCTTTCTCTGTCTAAATACGCATAGGATTGCACCTTTCAGCTTCTCATCTAGGACAGGGCCCTAGATCTTCCCATCAGGAGCAGAATGAAGGGAAGAGCTTCCCGTCCTCAGATGGGAAGAGCTGATCTCACAACCCACCTCTGGCTACACTAGAAACCCCATGCCACTTGTTTCTGGAGCACTGACAACAACAGAGGAAAAGGGAACTGCTCGATGAGGATGTAAATGGCAGACTGAGAGAAGGCGATGGATCTGTAGGAACTCGTAATTGGAAAAACAGGAGGGAATGAGCAGATGGCATGTCATTCCTCCTGGACCTGCCAGCATGAGCCCAGTCAGTCTTCTCCACCTTTGGACCATTGCGGCTTCTCACTGGCAGGCTTCCAGCCACCCTCCCTAGCAAAGATCAGCACACCTTTTCTCCAGGGCAACACACAGCTTTTCTTGTCATTTCCCCCCATCGTGTTTGTTTTGCGTTTGGGCCCAATGAACGAGCCGTGCACTGCCTGTCCCCTTAGGTTAAGTGCCACCTCTGGGCTCCCCAACCCCAGCCTGCCGCTTTCCTCTGCCGCCAGTAGGACGTCTGCTGCAGGGTGTTATTAAGCATCGTCAGGAGGTGGGTCCGTGCCCTGCTAACTTTGCAAGTCACCAGCAGGTGCCAGAACCCTGGCGCATTAGTCAAGTTTCAACAAAATATTGATTCATCCATTAGCGTGTTTATTACACAGTGCAGACACTGCTCTGCATCCAGCAGGATTCCCAAGAGATTAACCATAAAAGAGAGTGAAAACAACAGCATGCAGAATTAAAATATTTTAAATCAGATTATATCAATAAAGCTACAGCTGATCAAACCATCCTCAGGTGATTTCTGCCCTCATGTTTTCTTCAGTGGTACTTTCTCGGAAGCAAATCTTATGCACTTCAACTGCAGTTAGGGATGTGTCTCCTTGGAAATAACATGCCCCCTCTTCCAAGTTGCTTCCTCAGAAGTAAATCATGTTGTATTCAATGGTGCTTACTCTTGGAAGGAGGGGTGCTGCTGGCTTTTGGGGGTTGCGTTTGGGTGGAGGGGAATGGTGGCACCAGTTTTGGTGGCTTCAGCCCACGGGAAGTGGGAGTGAGCAGCACAGTGGCCTCACCAGGTTCCTTCCCCATCCCCTTCTCCTTCTCTGGGATTTCTTGGGAGGGGGAAGGAGGAGCTGTCAATCCTCCCCTTTAAAAAAATATCCACTCCTTTGTAGCTGAGCCTACTTAATGGATGGGAGAAAAACAACTTTTTATAAGGCTCATGCACATGACCCCTTTCAAACACTCCCTTCTTCTCCCTAGTGGCATCCGTGTGTGATGCAGCACAACGGAAATTGCGCTATACTCATCAGCATGTTCCTTAGCCATGGGAACTGCATTCTGCATAAATACCACTGCAGGGATCCCTGAGTGTAGATCCCCTAAGATTCCAGGGTTTTCAGATTTCAAATTGACCTGTTTTCCCCTAGACTCCCCAGGCCCACTGACCAGAGGGAGGTGCAACGGATGAAGACTTAGATTTGAAGAAGGGGGTGCCTTTGAGCATTTTCTGCACATCTGGATTTATTTTCCATACCGGGACTGAACCGTTCTCTAAAGCAAAAGTCTGCCCCTGGTTACCCCAAACTATCTTCAATTCAGCACCCATATTTAGGAGGTAAAATCCATGCTGTTGATAAACAAATTGGAAGTAAGATGATCTCTTGCATGTCACCCAGAGTTTCTGATCTTCCTTCTGCCACCCTGATGGTTTGATGGCAGGCTTAGCTCTGGTGAGCACAAGAAGGTGGATAAAGTTCAGCGAGGAACTCTGGCACACTTCATATATCTTCAGGGAGATTAATAAGGCATGGCATGTTCTGCAGACTTGTGATATGTGTCATACCCTTAACTCTTTGCTCCAAAAGGTGGGGGAAGTAATTAGGTAGTAGCTATTTTAGCACTGATCTTGACTAATCAGACTGGATTGGCTGAAAATGGAGGTTGATTGACAGATGAGGAGAAAATATTCATTACATGAGTTTTCAAAAGAAAAAGGAGTGGGAGCCAAGTAAGGAGGAAGGTGGACTTGGGCACCCTTTTCAAAGAGTGATGCCTGGATTTCAAGTTATTGTCAGTGGATGGCTTGATTCATGCAGTTCAGTGGGGGCAGGCAACTTGCGGCCCTCCAGATGGGCTGGTTGGCAACAGTGGAGTTACTGTCTCTCACATCTGACAGGTGCCAAGTTGGAGATGGCTCCTCAATAACATCAGGGGATTGCTACTTTTAGAATCTATTCACAAACACCAATGTTCCTGGCCTAATTGCAAACAGTTAAACATTAAAGTGCCATGTAACAAGAAAAAAAAGAAAATGATCAATATTTAAAGGAGTGAAATGCAATATGATACAAAACAACAAAATAGCATGGGATCAATAAAATACTAATAGAAATCTAGAATTCTCTAAAATAATTGGGAGAAATTAAAAGCCTTTGCCTGGCATCAAACACCTTTGTTCTGCACCACTCGGTTGGAGCACTGGGCTGAAAACAACAGAATGAAATTCAGTTGAGACAAATGCCAAGTTCTGCACCCAGGAAAAAAGAAAACAAATGCATCTGGGAATAGCTGGCTCAACAATATGGCAAGTGAGAAGGATCTTGGAATTGCTGTAGATCACAAGCTGAATAGGAGCCAACAGGGTGATGAAGCAGCAAAAAGGGCAAGTGCTATTTTAGGATGGATTAGTAGCAGTACTTCCAAATAATGTGAAGTACTAGTTCCCCTTTACTCACCAACAGTGAGGCCTCATCTGGAGTACTCTGCCCAGTAATGGGCACCACCGTTTAAGAAAGATGCAGGCAAGCTGGAAAGGGTTCAGAGGAGGGCAACAAGGATGATCCAGAGACTGGAAGCAAGGCCCTATAAGGAGAGATTGAGAGAACTGGGCATATTCAGCCTTGAGAAGACAAGACTGAGGGGAGAGATGATAGCACTCTCCAAGTTCTTGAAAGGTTGTCACAAAGAGGAAGGACAGGATCTCTTCTCAATCATCCCAGAGTGCAGGACACAGAATAATGAGCTCAAGTTACAGGAAGCCAGATTCTGGCTAGATATTAAGAACTTCCTGACTATTAGAGCAGTACGACAATGGAACCAATTACCCCAGGAGGCTCTCCCACACTAGAGGCATTCAAGATGCAACTGGAGAGCCCTCTGAGATGGATGGTTTAACCTGGAGTCCTGCACTGAACAGAGGGCTGGACCAGATGGCCTTATGGGCCTCTGCCAGCTCTACAATTCTACGATTCTGTGGAAGATCTAAGAATGCGCGTGCCAGGCAAATTTCTCTGGGGAGGGCATTCCTCAACTGAGAAGCCCCTCTCTGTTTTAGCCACTCATTCAATTTCCTTTGGTGAGGGATTCCAGATGAAGGTCTCTGAAGATGTCCTAAAAGACCAAGCAGATCCATGTGGGAGGAGGTAACTCTGGTCCCAAGCCATTTAAGACTTCCGAGCCTGACACAAACAGTTTGAACTGGGCTCGGAGATAGACTGGAAGCCGGTGTGGCTGGCAAGGCACAGGCATTGCATGGCCACCCCAGCCAGTCAGCTCCGTTTTGAGCTAATTGCTGCTTCTGCACCATCTTCCAAGGTAGCTCTGTGCACAGTGCAATCCAGCGAGAAGCTTGCCAGGACTTGGAAAACTGTTGCCAGTTGAACTCCGTCCCAGTCGGGCAGCAGATGTTGGATCAACCTCAGGTGCTACAAGATGCTCCTAGTCACCTGGATCCAAGGACGGGCTGCAGCACTTCAGGCTGCTCCCGCAAGGGAAGCACAACCCTTCCAAGGTTAGAGCTGACTGCCATTCTTTCCTGATGTACAGTGAAAACCTGTACACACCTAAGAAGTAAGCCCCCTTGAATTCAGTAGGTTTTACTCCTAGATAAAGCATGAGTAAGTCATACAGGACTGAACTGGACATCAGTATAAGGGGATCTGATGTGAATCTTGGTTGGCTAACGGGCACATTCTAAAAAGGCACATTCTGTCCAGAACAAATGCTCTTTTTGTCTTACGGGGTGTGTGTGTGTGTGTGTGTGTGTGTGTGTGTGTGTGTGAGAGAGAGAGAGAGAGAGAGAGAGAGAGAGAGAGAGAGAGAGAGATTGCTAGCCCTCCTAATGACTGGAAAACAAAATAAAAAAGCACCCAAGGAAAGCGTTGTCTTAATGAGTTTGTGTTAAAGATGTGAAAGCAAATAAGCTTTATGCCCTGGAAAGAACAGCAGAGGGACAGAAAAAGGGACTAATGTGGCACCATCAGGGACTTTATAATGGTAAGGAATCACACAAAAAAACAGAGAAGCACAGGAATAACATGAATTGCAATTAGCAAGAACTCTTTGCATTACTGAGAAAAATTTGCCAAGACACATTAGTGGAGGATGAAGAAGAGTGTGCGTGGGAATTGTTCAGATACTTCTGTGCCTCATTTCTCAAGTGTTCCGCAGTGTGTGTTTGCTAAATCAGGTTCAGGGAACTGGAGTGCAATTTATATCAGCCTCTACACTGGTGATGGACCTTCTATTCTGGAAGTCATTCACCAAAATCAGAGGTTCAGCAGGATTGGGGCAAGTTATTCTGAGTTTTGGGGAAAGCCTTTGCACACTTATCCATGCCATCTCATCGCTGGAATCCACACACAGCCCATGCTGACTCAGGATGATGGGAGTTGTGGACCAACCCCTCTGGAAGGCACTGGGTTGGGGAAACCTGCTCTGAGCAGAGAACGACAAGTGCTAACGTTGCCGGCACACACACAAGCGAACTGGAAGAACTGACAAGATCAGCCTCTGCCATCCCTGCTTGCGAGGGGGATGTGCTCTCTTGGGGCACAGCAAATTACCCGGGCACGGTTCCCTTTCCGCTGCTCCCCCTCATAGGACAAGCCCTGCTCCACGCTGGTGTTCCAAGCCCTGCCAAGGAGCCGGATTTCACCTTGTCGGAACGAGACGGGAGCACATTGACCAACACTTGCCACCAGTTAGGCTATAAAACATCTGGAGGTGAGGAGAGAATCTGCTTTGATTGTCAGATGGAGCGTTGGGGGAAGGAAGCAAAATCCATTTCACCCTGCGCAGGGCTGTGTTCCCCTCACCCGGCTGCAGAAGTGGGAATGAGCTGGCAAAAGGTGGGAAGGAGTCTGGTGCTTCTCCCTTCTCCCTCGTGTTCTGTCCTTTTGGACACGACAAGTACAGAGCTATACATACATGCACACCACCCACCCACCCACCACACACACAAGCTAAGTAGCGCATCACATGCTTGATAAACATCACAGGTCCTGTCTGGCCCCAGATCAGTTAATTTACCAGCACTGGCACAGGCGTGGAAATCGTAGCTGAGATTCTGGAGAGAGACACAGCTGATGCAGCCTGGATTTGCAAGGAGAGGAACGCGGTTCCCTGATTTCACAGAGTCCCAAGGTTCCACGTTGTCTGTCGACAAGGAGGCCTGCCTCACCTTCTCCTGCAGCAGCACCCCAGATGCTCAGCACTCCATACCTGCACTCAAACCATACCACCTCCGCACTCCGTTCACGAAGCAAGAAAACATCCTGTTTAAAAATATCGTGGTGCCGTGACAACAAGCTGCATATTACTTTTGCGGAAAGAATGTCTGGTTTGTTTGAGCAGTGACATAACGCCCATGCTAAACGGATGCATGCCTGAGAAATAGATTTAGAAAAAAAGAAATTAGTTTGTTCTGAAAGTCCCTGATTGTCCTTTAATTACCATCACCATGAGCCAGTCTCTGGGTTCCAGCTCTCTTTCTAAATCAGGAACCAAGCTGCTACTGGGAAGCCTACAGTAATGAACTTGGGCCACAACCCTGTTAAACTGAAATGCGAGGGTTGCGGTGCATGGAAGGTCTATTTCCTCTCGTAGTTTTGGAATGACTAACACCCAAGTGCTCTGTCTATGCAAGTCTGTGCATAGACACAATCTAAATCATGACATAACTAAATTATGCATCAACTGGCAAAATGGCTATATTTGAAAAGAACTTTTATGCTCGGTAATAAAGGATCTTTAACATGCACAAATGTGGAGTTTGAAAGCAATCTTTCAAGTTTACCGATCTGCATTATAGTCCTCCAGGAGCAGGGGTGGCTCGTTTGATTCAGTGCCTCTGAAGAGGCACTCGGCATGACTGCGACACCACGAACTGCAGGAGCGCGGCACGGACGGGTCAGGGGCTGCAGACGCTTCTCCAGAGGCATCCATCATGTGCCTTAATCAAAGGCTGGGGAGGACACAGCCCTTTCGCATCCTCCCCAGCCTTTCACCCAGCCAGCTTATTAGCTGTCAATATTGACAGAAGATGGAGGGGCTATAATGGCGGGAAGGCCACCTGACCTGGTTTCTCCTGGAAAGTGCCCTTCTTGGATAGGGGATAAGAATATCTGGGACGCAGGCTGGTGGCAACTGTGTCTGTTTTCCCTGCCAGCATTGGGCACTATCTAAAGTACATTTTTCCACTGTCTCTTATTTGGTATTTGCTGTTCACATCCAGAAATGCAAAGGCATCAGCCGAAATAAATGGGATTTCTGCCTCATGCACCTGTGCTCTCTGGTGGGCTCGCTAGCCTGCTTCATCTCTCAAATTTTAAACAAAACTGCCTTCTAGACCTCATGACTGTGGTAAGAAGATGGATTATGTGCAGGTCTTATGAATGCTCGACTGCTCATTATTCCTTTCCGCACACCTTAGCTCACGTTGCCCCCACTCCTGCTGCTTCTCCTCTGACATTGTCTCCCATCTCTCTGTGGTCTCTCGCAGCCCGATACTTGCCCAAATATTTTGATTCCCACCTTCCCAAAATACAAAGCAATTGGCATAATTGTAGTGCTGATGGAACTGGTGATTATTAAGGGGTCTGCAGAGGTGACGCGTGGCCACCAGAGAGCTGGTTCCCCGGCACAATTCTGTGATGCTGCAGGAAGGTTCAGATGATGAAATCACAAGGCCGTGCGTCACGCCGTTCCCCTATAGAGAGCCGGGGTGTGCAGCATGTCCCCACTTGAGCAACTGCAAAGAACTTGAGCAGGCAAAATTAGCTTGCTTGCAAACTGAGTTGGGTCCCTTTGATGCTTTCTAAGCGCCAAGCCATGTCCAAAGGGTTATATTTACATTGCAAACAAGCTGAATTTACCCATGGAGTGGTTTGCTGCTGTTTTTTGTCCTGTCAAACCAGTAATTTCAGGCTTTTCCCAGTCTTGGGAGGTGGTTTCCAAACTCTCTGGACTATGTGTGTGGGAGAGGGAGGGGGAGGGGGAGAGGGAGAGGGAGAGGGAGAGGGGAGGCTTCATACACCCTTCGCGCTCCCCACCTATCCACCTAGCTGAGCAGTGGGTAGAGGGGCACAGGGAGCTGCAAATAAAAATGAAGACTGTCTTTTCTCCATTGTTCAATTGTTCCCTGCTGAACAGTAGACTAGCTCAGGGAAGGCTTAACCCTTCACAGTCCTGCAATTCTGAAGACGGCTCTCCCATCGCACAATTAAGCTTTTTACTAATTTTTATAGCAGAGAGTGGGTGGGCTGATTTTCATTAGGATTGTAAGGCTGATTAAACTTCTTCCGCAGAACCTGCTGCTCTGCCCAGCTGAGCAGTGGGGCTCACTGCATGGGTGATCAGCAGGAGGGGACACCGTGGGCTGCATCGAACCAGATGGCAGGCTGCACGAGGCTTGCCGGCAATGGGTGGTCGCCTCTGCAATAGGACCCTAAAGTCGTATTTCTGGGCGGCTCTGGCTACTGACCAGAGTAGGCATGGATTGCAGGTGGAACATTGCCCAAGCAATGCAACAGTGGAACCAGCTGCCTGGAGAGGTGGTGGGCGCTCCCACACTGGAGACATGCAGAAAGAGACTGGACAGCCACCTGAGTGGGATGGGGTAACGCGGTGTCCTGCAACAGCCCCGGGTTGGACCTGATGGCCTTCTGGCCCCTTCCAACTCTGCTCTTCTGTGATTCCATGAATGTACGAAATGCACTTGAGGTGGGAGCCCTTTCCCAAGTCCTGGTGGAGATTACGCATACGGAGCAGAACATTTGCCGCACTCCCTCTTTGTGGACAGCTTCTGTGCGCTTTCTCCATGGGCGTGGTGTGTGTTCCCCGTGGCCAGGTGTTTTGCACACCATTCAGTTCATCATACCCCACTGCACATGCACATCCGCACCCACATATAGTTGGCCTGCCACCTTCCTCCCCAGGCGACTCCAGGGCAAGATGGAGCTGCCAACTCAAAGGGCAGCAGAGGTGAACTTCAAGCTGTGAGACAGGAGACGGAACACGCGCTCCCGGCCCTCTGCACTGGGCTTGGGCAGACTGTGAAGCTGCCTCAGAACTGGCGAGGGGCAGCCTTTTCCAAAGGCCTGCACAACACATTGCAGTCACCCAAGCGCAGGGAACCCAGGTTCCATTTGGATGCCAGGAAGCACTTCCTGACAGTCAGGACCCCGAGGGTGTGGAATGGGCTTCCCCGGGAGGTGGTTGAGGCCCCATCGGTGCGGGTGTTCAAAGATAGGCTGGACATGCACATGGTGGGCATGTCATGAGTGGAGCCGGCTGGAACCAGGGGTCAGACTAGATGGCCCGGGAGGCCCCTTCTGACTTGCTGTTTCTATGTTTCTATCCAGCCAGGAGCTTTAGCAAGGTGTGGGTAACCATGGCCAGGCTATCCTACTGCAGGGGCAGACTCGGGGGGCAAACCAGCCTTCCTCTAGTGGCAACTAGGACCTCTGGTGACACAGTGGCCACAAGGTACCCCCAGAGCAGCCTTGTTAACAGCCCTGCAAGTTAGGACAGTGTTGTTTTGCCCCCTCCGGCAAGCAGGGATGGGCTGGAGCCGGCAGCTAGTGGGTGCCTCACTGCACTGAGGCACGAGCCCTCAAGTCCATAAGCCAAGCTTTTGCCAGCACATTACTCTTGTTTTCGGGGTGCAGGGAGGTTCAGAGAGAGCAGATGGACCAGTTCCTGCACTCACCTGAGTGCTCGAGAGCAGCTCTGGAGGGCCCTTGCAGAGGCGTCCCCCGGCACTCGCAGACTGCCCGGCCCATGGAGCTTTTGAGTGCCTTTCAGTATTTCTGAGCATGCCACCCGGATCGACCAGGTACCTTTGAACATGCCAGTCTTGGATGGTCCCTTGGCAGCAGAGACTGCTGTGGGAGCTCTGCAGATGGCAGGGATGAGCCCCGAATAGTTGTTATCTCACAGAAAAGGGATACCAGCCTTTGTCCAGCATATTTTCTGGGCTCCTGATTGTGCACTATTTACAAAGAAGGTGCTAAATGAGGATTTGCAAAACAGATAAACAAGCTGGCACCTTTCCCAAGCATTTTTTCAAGAAATCTGTGTATATCTTCTGGGCTTCCCTGGGACTTAATCTAATTCCTAGGAAAGAACAGGTGTGTGCGTGTGCTTTCCCTCTTGCACTCATTTCATTTATAATCTTCTCCCAGTCTGGCCAGAGAGGCTTCAATGCTCTCGTTTTTGAGGCTAGGATTTGTCGCCGATGGTCACTAAGTGCTGAGCTGGCATCGCTGCCTGAAGCATCTGGCCTGGAAGATCCTTTCCGTGATGTGTTGCAGGTGGGTTATGGGTAGCCCTTTGGGAAAGCAATCCACTCTGTATATGCCCAGAGACACACTTGCCAGCGAAAGTGGTGCCGAACTGTGGCAGCACTGACCTCGCAGCCCGGCTGGCGGGATCGAGGGCTCTCCCCCGGCAAGCAAGCTCTCTCGGGGAACAGCCCCCGTTGGCCCGGGCGGCGTCGCGGCCCACCCGCTCCTCTTCCCCTCAGAGCTGCCGAGACGATTGGCTTGCCGGTGGGGGGCCCGGCATCCGGAGAAGGGGGGGGGTTCCCGTGGCTGCTGAGATGAGGGCGCATCGGCGGCGGCGGCGGCGCCTCCAGCCTCTCCGCGCGCCGCCGCCTTCAGCCGCCTCGGCGCGGAGGCAGCTCGCGGGCGATGGGCGCCGGCAGGAGGCAGCGAGCCTCGGCAGCCCTCTCGCTCAGCCTGCTCTCGCTCGCCTTCTCCATCACAGCCTTCGGCAGCAGCTACTGGTGCGAGGGCACCCGGAAAGTGGCCAAGCCCTTCTGCAGCGAGCTCAGGGGTGGGACGCGCTGCATCCGCTTCAACAGCTCCGGGGCCAACGACAGCAACGCGGTGCAGTACATCTGGGAGACGGGCGACGACAAGTTCGTCGACCGAAAGTTCCACGCCGGCATCTGGTACTCCTGCGAGGAGGCGCTCGACGGGGCAGGTGAGTGGCCGCCCTCCGCCGCTCCCCTGGCCGCTTTGGGCCAGCGGGGGCGTCGATTCGGTCCATCCTGCCTCTTTCCCCCTTCTCCGGAGCTCACGGCACTCTCTGCAACCCTCCTCCTCTCCATTTAACTTCACAACAACCCTGTGAGGTAGGTTAGGCTGAGAGTGAGTGACTGGCCCAAAGTCACCAGTGAGCTTCATCTTCATGGCCAAGTGGGGACGGGAGCCCAGGTCTTCCCAGTCCTGCTCCAGCACTTTAACCACTATGCCACACTGGATTTCAGGGAATGACAGTGAATGGTTGTTAAGCACAGGTGTTGTGTGTTGGTGTGTAAGCGGATCTACTGGGCTGGAGGCTGTCCCTGTTTTACTCTGATCTCATCGTGCTTTTATTCGTTTGTTTTTCGGTTGCTTTTATGAAGTTACGTTAGCAACTGCAAGTGGGCTTGAGTGCATTCCAGGTAGGAAGGAGGGTGCAGGTCAGATAAGGGCTCCATCGGAACTCAGGGCTTGCATGCATCCAGTGGCTGGCACAGTAGTGTGGATCTCCAGATGCTGCACTGTGCCCTGAGCACGTTGCCTGGGTGGCAGGCTTTATCCACCTAGAGTACGTGCCAGGAAGGAGGCTGGGGCATTGGTGGGAGCTGGTGCTAAGTCCAAGGCCCCTGCTTCCTCTCCTCCTCACCCCACGGCGTGGCTACGCTCCCCTCTCTCCAAGTGCAGGGAGGAGACCTGGCCTTTGGATTCCAGCACCAAAGCCAGGATATTCCAGCACCTTAGTGCCAGGACTCTGCAAAACCCCATGATCCACCGCAGGATTCTGCCCTAAATCGATAAAATATGGCAAGGAGTGTTGTGCAGAGACATGCATGACGATACTCTCAGTAATCTAAAGGTTCGTATATTAGACTTAAAGTCAAGAAAGAAACCTATGTTCAGATCCCAGCTATGCCACAGACCTGCGATGTGATTGCTCATCAGTTGCCTGAAGCCAGTGTTTCTAAATCTGTAAAATGGGCACAATCACTTATAGGTGTGTGTTCCTGTGGGCACACCCAAAATACTGATTCTAAAGTACTCTTGACTTTACCAAGTAGCTGTAAATACACAAATACATGTAATACATGTTGCTCTACTGTGGCATGACATCGCTTGAGGGGTTGTTTCTGAAGGTTATGTTGGTAGTTAAGTCCCACTTTTCTCTACGGATCACCCACCAGACACTCCATGCCATTCTAATAGGTGGAGAAATGACCGTAACTGTCTAACACACACTGTGTATATTGGAAGGAATCCCCAGAACACAACAGAATTCATGGTGAGGTGAACAATATCTTGTGTGAACTAGAAATAGTCTGGCAGAGTTCATATACCATCCATTTCAGCCTTTTAAAAAAAAAATAAAAGCAACCAGAAATAGGTTTTAAAAACAGCTTAAAAGGGTGTGTATCTAACCCATACACAAACGATCAGAAGCGCTTAGTGATAGAAATTGGAAGAAGCAGTTGAGTGATTGTGGCAAAAGTCAGCTTTAAAAATATGACGGGCAGAGAAGGAGAAAAAATTATACTCTATTTATTCAGATAGAGAGCAAGTATGAAGCATCAGTTCTAGTGCAGCAGCAAAGAAATGGCATAATTGCTTTTTAGTTGCACTAGTAAATCAAAGGCTTTTAAGAGTGGGAGTAGACTTGATGTTATTCTTTGTTTTTAAATATTGTCTGTGTAGTATCAAGATAGATCTAAATAAACCCTCCTTGATGAAAAACATGTGGAATCTTTAGACACCACATATCTAATCAGAATATTAACTGGATATTTCACCAGAGTTAGCAGCATAATTAATTCCATGGGGGAATTAAATGTTACGGGCAATATACAGGACTTCTAACCCTGCATTTCCCCCACTTGCAGTGGGTGGGATGGTGTTTGCAGGGGGCACTTGGTCAGCCGTGGGGAGGGAGTGGGGAGGGAGTACTGACCCCTAACCACTCTCAGTACTTTGAAAACCATTTTTCCTGAGCAAGAGATATACTGTATTTATGAGGAATGTCAAGTGGGGGCATATGTTCATGAAAATGAGTGGGTGCAGGTGGCTGATTCTCCCCAGAAAACACTTCTTTGCTCCCAAACTATTCATATTAATGAGAAAAAGGCACGTTGTGGCTGAAATAACTTGCCTTTCATGCTTCAGCCATAAACGTCTGGAAGCCACAATGACTGAGCATCAGCTGGGGGGGCCTCAAGCTAGCCCACCTTACAGGGAATGCAGGGTGATATCTGAATCTGCTTCCCCAACAGCCCACCAGAAAAGTCCATGCTATCATTCTGCTGGTACAGCGAATGCTAATGTGATAACTTCTGACAACATGTCGGTTGCAGTTGGATCATTTTAGGCTCTGAACTCAATGGACTTGAGCCCTTCCCTCTCTTCGTACATGGGCATGTATATTTACTTTGTCACTTCCTTCATAGAAACATAGAAACAGAGCTAGTCAGAAGGGGTCTCCCGGAACGTCTAGTCTGACCCCCGGCTCCAGCCGGCTCTGCTCACGACATGAAATGTGGCAAGGCAGTCCTGCTGCCCCCCTTCTGATTCAGTTGTTCTAGACCACATGCTCAACATGAGCCAAGAATGTGGTGTGTCTGCAAAAGGGGCGAATGCTGTTTTAGAATGCATTAATAGAAGTATTGCTTCCAAATCACATGAAGTACTAGTTTCCCTATACTCAGCACTGGTTAGGCCTGTGTCCAGTTCTGGGCACAACAGTTTAAGCAAGATGCAGAAAACCTGGAAAAGGTTCTGAGGAGGGCAGCAAGGATGATCTAAGGTCTGGAAACAAAGCCCTGCGAGAAGGCATGTTCAGCCTTGAGAAGAGAAGACTGAAGGGAGAGATGATAGCCCTCTACAAGTAACAGAGAGGTTGTGGCAAAGAGGAAGGACAGGATCTCTTCTCGATTATCCCAGAGTGCAGGACACGGAATAATGGACCTAACTTATAGGAAATCAGATTTAGGCTAGATATCAGGAAAATTTTCCTAACTTTCAGAGCAGAACCAGTTTCCCAGGGAGGTCATGAGCTCCCTGAGCCCCACAAGGGGCATTCAAGGCAAAACTGGACCATCATCTGAGTGGGAAGGTGCAAATTGGTGTCCTGCACCCACAAGGGGTTGGACCCAACAGCCTTCTTGTTCATGCCACTCTCTTCAGCCAGGAGAAGTCCACCCAGTTCCCATGCTAGCATCTTCTGAACAAACTATGTGAGAAACAGCAATTCTTCCCTGTGGAAAAATAACTTGAAGTCTTAGATTGGAGAATAGCAGCCCCCTAGGCATAATTTCCTCTCTGCACCCCCTGCCCCCAGGCTACTCAGATGACCTTTCTTCTTGGGAAATATGGAACATTTGAGGCAATTCATTTATTATGAATTGTGAAGGTAATTTTTTTTCGTCCATGATGTTGACCCAACTTTGCTGCCTTCATCATGACCTTGTTTTCCACCGGGAGAGTGAACTCGTGTCTAAGCAGTCAGGGGAATGCCAGTGATGAGCTGGGCAGCCACAATCCGGAGTTATTAACTGCCTGTCAAAATGTATGATTTGCATCAGCGTGGCAACTGCGGCGCAAGACCAGCTGGCATGGCTCAGAATCAGGGTGACCGTTTATGCTTTGCCAAAAGAGAAGTCTCTGTTACAAAGCTGCACCTGCTAATTTGTATCATAATTGCAAGTTCAGAAATCATTATTCTACATTTGATCAAAATACCATACATCTCAGCGTGGTGTGGAAGAAGGTGACCAGGTGAACTGAGCACCCCTCTCCAGTCCGCTGTCCAGTCGCTGCGGGTGCTGATGGGCTGCCGTTCTTGTGGTTCTCTCTCTCTCTCTGTTAAAAGCCCTTCTTATTGAGATCTGTCCTCGATAAGGACAGCTGGCCACCCCAAAAACCCACTCGTTCAATAGAAGGGCTTTCTATTTTGCTGCTGGGGTTGCAAGTAGGAGATGTTCATATGTATATGTGCAGGAGCATCAATGCAGAGGACCTTCACAAAGTAACAGAAATCAGCTCCTGCCCCGAGGAACTTACAATCTAAGCCAGGGGTCTCAAACTCGCGGCCCGCGGGCCAATGTCCAGGCCAAGCTGGGCACAGGGGAGGGGCCCTGCGGCCTTCAAAGCGCCTCCGGGAGCCACGCGGGATGAGCGGCCCACCCCCACCGCGGTGGTGGGATACTTGATGCAGCCCAGCCTCACCCAGACTCTACTTCCAGGGGCCCCCAGGGAAGTTGAGTTTGAGACCCCTGCTCTAAACACTGAGCGAGGGGTGTCAAAAGGAAATGCAAGTGTTCTCTCTCTCTCTCTCTCTCTCTCTCTCTCTCTCTCTCTCTCTCTCTCTCTCTCTCTCTCTCACACACACACACACACACACACACACACACACACACACTTGGCAGGGTTGATGTTGTTCTAACAGCGCAGGGAGCCAGTTGTGCAGATTCAAGCGGTTTTGCACTGTTGCATTTCAAGCAGCCGCCCACACAGAGTAACTGCACAGAGGAATGCCGCCAGCGCAGTAGCCCGATCTTGTACAGTTACAGGAGTGATGTCCAATTTATTCATTTATTAAAAGCTTTTATATGCTGTCCTATTATATAAAAATCTCAGGACGGCTTACAATGCTTTAAAAGGACAATTTAAAAGACAACAATTTCCAATAAATGAATTAAAAACAAAACAATGTATAAAACAAAACAATAAACAGTAAATCACAAAACAAAACAAGAGCAACTAAACATTAAAAACTGTTGATTTTAAAATGCCATTTAAATAAAAAGGTTTTGGCCTGGCGCCGAAAAGGGTATAGGCTTAGCACCAGGCATACCTTTCTGGGAAGCACATTCCAGAATCTGGGCACCACCACAGAGAAGGCCCTACTCTGAGTTGATGACCTTTTTACCTCTCTTAGAGAGGGTTCCCAGAGCAGGGCTTCTCCCATAGATCTTAAGGGGCATGTGGGCATATAAGGAAGGAGATGTTCCTTTAGGTATCCTGGTCCCAAGCTGTTTAGGGCTTTATAGGTCAAAACCAGCACCTTGAATTGGGCCCGGACTTCAACTGGAAGCCAGTGCAGCTGGTAGAGGACTGGCGTCATGTGAGAGTAATGACCGGTCCCCATCAGCATCCTGGCAGCTCTATTCTGTACCAGCTGAAGTATCCGGACCGTTTTCAAGGGCAGCCCCATTGCAGTAATCCAAGCGGGAAGTTACCAGAGCATGTATCACTGTTGCTAGGGAGCGCTCATCCAGGTAAGGATGCAGCTGGTGGATCAGTCGAAGTTGTAGGAAAGCACTCCTTGCCACCGCCACCACCTGGAACTCCACCGACAGTTCTGGGTCAAGGAGTACCCCCAAGCTGCAGACCCTGTCCTTTAGAGGGAGTGCCACCCCATCCAGGACAGGTCAAAATCACCTACCTGGAGACCCGCACCACCCACCAACAGGACTTCTGTCTTATCTGGATGGAGGCTTAGTTTATTGGCCCTCATCCAGCCCATAACCTCAACCAGGCACCGGTTCAGCCTGGTGCTGAAGCCAGAAGAAAAGACAGGGCTCTAAGATAACCCCCAGATTTCTAGAGAGAAGCCAAAGTACCATCTCTATCAGCAAGACAGAATTTGGGAGTTGGGTTGCATTGGATGGGTTCTACCAGAAGTATGGTGAGGGGGTTATTATGGTTCAGGAGGTGGCATTGTGATCTTTTCTGCTGCCCAAAAGCCAGGAAGGCATGCCAAGGCCTCCTGGTCTTGAGTTTGTTAGGAAGAGCACTAGGGCTAATAGCCCTGAAGCTGCCTTCCCTGCTTGTTCTGTAGACAAGGACTGCCTTTGCTGTGGGAGCAAAGCTGTTTGCCTCACTGAAGTAGCTTCACTCCTAGGAAGGGGTAGAGGAGCCTGCATGCACCCCGACAGGAACTGCAATGGTGTGAGAGAGGCACTGCGTAAAATCTGTGGCAAGATACACTGCTTTTCATTCTCAGCCTGAGAAAGGAGTTGGTGCATCACTCCCTCAAGAAACTGGGGGCCTGTGCTGCACCCCCGGCCTATTTTGGGAACTAATATAGCCACAGAGAAGGATTGTGTAAACTTTCCTTACCATGTTTATAGTGTGCATTCATTTCATTGAATAAACTGCCTATCAGCTTTGACACAAGTGGTTTCATTTCTGCCTAAGCGTTCTTGAATCTGAAGTAAGCTGCCTTGCCTAGACCAGGCCCTTGTGATTAAAACAGGGGCAGCAGGGTTTAGCCTGGCCATGAGATACCCAGAACAGCACACTCAGAAATCTGAGATTGGAAGATAATTAAGAGCCAGTGGTGGCAAGGTACATGTTTGGAGTCATTAGAAGCAGAATCTAAGTCAGCCTTTCTCATGGTGGTGCCTTCCAGGTGAGTTGGACAACAACACCCATCAACCCAACCAGGATAGCTATTGGCCATGCTGCCTGGGGATGGTAGAAGTTGTAACCCAAAATATCTGGTTACACCAGATTGGGCAAGGCTGGGGTAAGCCTTTGTAAGACTATCTAGACAGCATCAAAGTTAGAAGAAGTGAAACTTTGGAAAAGCTCTTTCAGTATGAGCCTATATTTTCCCATTTCATTTTTTCCAGAAGTTTTTGTAAGTCCCAGGTCCAATTTCTATTATGCTTCCATAAATGGGGATCTGATCAGTTAGATGGAGACTTTGAGCATTGTTGGAAATTATATTGACTCTGATTCTTAGGAACATTTTCTACAAGAATATACTTTTTATTGACACTCACGTACGAGTATTATGAGAGATGTGAAATGTATCCATGGGCATTTTGTGTATGAATGTGTCTTGCTTGCCCTTTTAAAGATATGTGTGACTGAGCAGTGACGAGGAACCCTTGTGTACTTTACAGGGACAAGGGGTGACAATTTAAAGGTGCACTTCGTGGCTGAACTGTATGCTTGCAATTTTGCCCTGAAATTTTGCCCTGAAATCATACCAAACTATCTTGCATGACAGTGCATTAGCTCAATTTTATTTTAGAGTGATAAAGCTGGGTCAATATTCTTGTGATGTCTTCCCTTGGGCTTTGTATTCCAAATAACTTGGAGTATGTTTTTCCCTCAGGGCCTCTGGCTTTCCTCACCATCTGCCTGCAACTCTCCTCTTGCTACTCGTGGGAGGCTGTGTTCCTATAAGTGTTGGGAAGGTGGGAGACTAAGCTGGTTGATGAGACATTTGGAGTTTTTTAAACTATAATTTTTGTACATTTTACATGCTTCATAGGTGAGAAATGTAGAAGTTTTATCAGCCTGACACCCCCGGCAGATCGAGGTAATTATATACTGTCACTATTTCAGTTTCTGCCCTTTCTATCTGCAAGTTCCATGTTCTGAATCATGGGAAAAGCAATCCCAGCACCCCTCCCTGCAGGAGAACGGGAGTTTCCTCAGGACAGCAAGTTGGAGGGGGCTGCAAGCCAGTTCCCAGGCAGGTGTTCATCTTAACACGTGAACAGAAGACTCTCGTGAGCCTTTGCTATGGGGAAGGAAAGGGGCCTATGGGCCCCTCAGCCCTTCCACAAGTAACAGGCTGACAGGCTTATCTAGGGCCAGAGATCTGCCCTGATCTGCTCCTTTCACACAGCTCAGCTGCTTCTCACCTGAGGAGGGTCACCTGTGAATGTGTGGACTGAGAGCAGCCTGCAAAGCTCCTCCTGCTCTCTCGAAGTAACCTGCCCCTCCAAGATGGGGGAGCTTGAAGGCTCTCACAAAATAGCAGCAAATTTTTGTTGCAGGTCCCCGTTCTTCCTCCTGTCCAGGAAGGGATGCTGTTGTGCAAGTATCCAAAACAGCATCACCATGGATAGGCAATTGGTATCAACAGGGGAAACTTCAAGTTTTGTAGAAGCACAAGGAATATTTCATAAACTGCCATAGCCAGGGGTGGGGGGAAGAGACTGCTCAGGGACTGAGCCTGCTCAATGTAAACTGGATGGTGGCTAGTTTTTGGAACAGAAAAAGGGGGATGGATTGGCTGAAAGCTTGAACCAAAGGACTCCAAGCTGGAACATTTTGTTGTAGGTCCCAATAGTTTCTTTGTATTGGGCTGGTGTTAAAAGCACTAAAGCTGGAGCACAAAGAATAAGATAGCGGTGCACCTTGAAATGAACTTTCTCCATCTCCTCTTGTGAATGGACCCTTGACAAGTAGCCCAGCTCACAATGTGTGTGTGGCAGAGGCAGCGGTAAGGGTAGTTCAGGACATGTGAAACCGTCTTGGCACATCCGGGCATCTCAGGGCTGCGCACCCCTGTCGCTGCAGGGGTTCTGTGGTTGTCCATTGCAGCCGAGCTCCTCTACATCACGTTACTCCTGATGGGCGTCAGCCTCATGTTGATCGAAATCTGCCATTCTATCGGCATCCTGGACGGACTGAAGCTCAACGCCTTTGCTGCGATATTCACCGTTCTGGCAGGTATAGCTCTGTCTTATCCCCTTCGGTTGTCTGTGGAAGCAGCAGCAAAAATGATCTGGGTAAAGTCAGGGTGCCCTTGCTGGGCAGCAAGGGCCTTTCCCTTACATCTGTCTTGCAGCCGGCTAGGAGGCCAACAGGCAGGTGCCAGGGGGGATGGGATGCACTGATGTGGCCTGGTCCTCATCGTACCTGATCGATGTGGTGCCCACCTCTCTGTGAGGACAGCCAGCTCTCTGCTATACTAGGACGTGTTGCTTGTTCTTACAGCCTGGGGTGAAGACAAAGACATGCACTTTATAAAGGAACTCCACCTTGTTAATGAACAAAGGATTCTCCATGGATGGTTAGGGATAGAGGAAGCTGCCTCATCTCAGGTCAGCCTATCAGTCCGTTGTACCCAGTACTCTGGCTGGGGGTGGCTCTCTGGCCAAGGTTGGACAGATGGGCCTAGTTCCAATCCATATTAGCTTTACATATACTCAACTCTAAGTTCATTCAGTTCGATTTCCACAGTCTGAGATTTTTCTGAAGTATCAAATGCACAAAATTTGCATTGATTTTCATACACAGTTTCCCCTGTTGTACAGGTTTCCTATGCAGTTTCCCCAACACAGCCAGTTTTGTACACACTTCCAGGTAAAATGCACATACTTGTACGCAATTGTTTGCCCTAGAACTTCATTGCAAAATTCAACGAATGCACAGTCCAGAGGATAATTGTGTTGGGATCTGCACATTAGTCTGAGAAGTACACCTTGGTTCATTTCACTTAAATATGGAGACTGAACAAACTCTCCCCATTGTCTGCTGCCTGCTCCTTTTAACTGAAAATTCCAGTGACTGAACCTAGAGCCTTCTGCATGACACAGACCGGAGCTGAGCTACATCTCTACTTCTGTTGTAACTCTCGATTTTCTGATAAGTTGCCTTGAGCCTTTTCTGAGCAGGGCATCCCATCATCATTATCTCCTCTAAAATGCCAGGGTCAATGAGGCCACCAGGAGCCAATGTCGTTTCCATCCTAGGTCTAGTCAAACCGAGGAGAAGTCTATTTATTTGCTTGTATTGTTACTGCTGCTACAACTCTGTAAGTACTCTGCAGTGTTCCTTCTCCTGTTTTCTGCCTGCCCATTATCACCGATGCAATAATTGCAACCAAACTGCCAAATCACACAAATTATAGCCAGGCAAAGGATAGCAACCAGCCTATAAAAATATGCCAGTCCTAGAGCCCAAGCACTGACCAGCGACTCCTCCAATGCAGAAGAATTGGGGTGAGATGCTGCTGCTTCTCCTCCAGCAGAGGGAGAGGGGCTTTATGGCCCCCTCCATGCTCTCTGCCCATTGGTGGCCCATGCATTCACTCCTCCTCACTTCCTTCGCCTTCCAAGTCTTGGACAAAGCAGTTCCTACCCACAGGCTTCAGGCTGGGAGATGATGTTTTTGCAGATGACTCACATTTAAGAGATGGGGTCCCAGGAGACTTAGCTGTTGAATGGGAACTCCCCATTCACAACAGATCTTTGTGTGAGAAGTGATGCTGCCCATTGCAGCAGGGAAAGGGAAGTAACCATGGGAAGGAGGTAGCTGCAGTGAAGGGCAAGGGATAGAGCAGCCTTCTTCAACTTGGTGTCATCCACATGGGCTGGACCACAAGTCTCAGCACCTGAGAGTTGTGGTCCAATGCATCTGGACAGCAAAAGGATGCTGAAGGCCGGAATGAACAGTAGCTCAGTAGTAGAACACACATACTTTATATCGTTCCTAGTTTCAATCCAGTGGAAGCTGATCGGTCCAACATCAGTGGGATGATGCATCTGCTCTGGGTTTTAGTTAGAGCTTTAAAGGAGTTATCCATAGTGCTGTGACCTATTCCCTGCGCCATCACACACATGTGTGCGCGCGCACACACACACACACACACACACAGAGAGAGAGAGAGAGAGAGAGAGAGAGAGAGAGAGAGAGAGAGAGAGAAAGGTCCAGCATTGTGTCTAGCTCCTTGACAGTTCAGGCAGCAACATGGAGTGGATGCATTGCCCCACTTACACTGGGGCCACCAGCCTCCACTGGTTCAAGCCTTGGCATCTTGAGTTAAAAGGCTTAGGGAGCAGCCGAGAACCGGGGAAGCCAGTGCCAAGAAGTAGTTGGTCCTGTGATAGATGGACTAATACTTTGACTGGCAGAAGGCAACTTCCTTTGTCAACTGGTGCACTCCCTCTAAGGACACCAATTCCTGAAAGATGCCTCAAGTAAACCAGCCTACGGCCATGCATTCTGCCCTCATCCACACCTGAAGATGTCCTTTTGTGAGTGCCACTGTCTCATACCAAGGACGTTCAAGGAGATGGAAGTACCACCCATCCCTGCAAGTGCTAAGTCTTTTCAGGTGTACAGGATTCAGATGAAGCCTCCAAATCATTCATTACAAAACTATAACATGACAACCAAATGCATTTGATATTGAGCAGGTAAGGAGGCTGCCTTGCAATGTTTTTCTTGGCATTTGACCTAATACCTCAAAGACCTGGGATAAATGCAGCCCTGAATTAGGAAGGGACAGCAGCTAACATGGTAGCATCTCTGTGATTTCAGGTCTCCTAGGAATGGTGGCTCACATGATGTATACGACAGTATTTCAGATGACTGTCAATCTTGGTCCAGAGGACTGGCGCCCACAGACCTGGGATTATGGCTGGTCTTACTGGTAGGTTTATTTGCGGGGGGGGGGGGGCATGGGGAGAAGCAGAAGCATAAAGAGATAACCAGGGCTCACCGAACATTCATCACCCTTCCTGAGTCCTTGAAAGGCCAGCTGTGGACAGTATTGGGCCCACTGAGCAAAGATCAGTACAGGATAACTTGCTATGTTACTTGTATTTGAGGCACTCAACAATTAAGGCAGGTGTGTGTTTGTTCTGCCATTTCATTCATGTTTTTTGTCTCTTCTTTGACAGTCTTGCATGGGTCTCCTTTGCCTGCTGCATGGCTTCCTCTGTGACCACAATGAACAGATACACAAAAACAATTCTGGAGTTTAAGTATAAACAGAAAAAACTGGAGAGAAGGTTAAAGGTGAAATCCAAGTCCTCCAACCCAGAAAAGGCCTGGAAGATGTACATTGACACCATCCATCACAGCACCACTGAGGACTTCATGCACCACCTGACAGACATCCACAGCCCGGCTTCTCCGACAGCGTTTGCAGAACTGAATAACATCCCCATGGCACATTGTGAAGAATATTGCTAAATATGTGCTACGGGGTTGATGAGGCAGGAGGGCTGGAAGCAGCCTATGGTGACTTGATGCACTATTTTGTATGTCAAGGATTGCTGTTCTCGCTGTAAAACTTGTTGATGACTTACAAACAGAATGCCAAGGAAAAAAGGCCTTTTGCTTTTTCATTTCCCCCTTTCCTTTTGCTTCCAATCTTGACTGAGGGCACACACAGCCAGAATTAAGCCCGAAAGTACCACTGATTTTAGTGGCACTGTGGTGGATTGAAAATGCAATCCTCTCTGTGTCTATTCAGGTGTCTTACTCCCAGGTAAGTGGGCACAGGATTGTAACTTTAAGCACAGGTCTAGCATGCAGCTCTGCAGCTGAAATCAGTAAGATTTAAAACAGCATTATACTTTGCTTGACCTCAGGCCCTACCTTGCAAGCCTCCAGTTAGAGCATTTTGAGTAGTTTTATTTATTCATTCAATAATAGTTATAGCACTAGTAATAACAGTAATACATGAAAACTGCTTTATGTATGTCTTTCTTTTTAGTAAGAGAAATTCCACTGATGTTTGTTCAGTGAAGCGATGAAATGAAGCTAAATCAGAGGGTTTATCAATTTATTATTTCTGAGGCAAACTTTTCTGCTTTACCCAGCTGCTGCTACTTGTTTTGCCCTGAGATGTATTTAGAGGGCTTAGCTGTATGCTGCTTAGGTAGACCTGCCTTGTTAGAGTAAAGTTTTATAACTCCCCAAACAGCTGCACTTTAGAAACTTCCAGGCACTTTTTAATAATGCCCACTGAGGCACCTGTAAAAGTTCTCTTACTGTGAGATAATTAAGACAACTTTCATATTCTAACTTTATGGTGTTAAGGAATCCCTTGAGCAGGTAATTATTATCCAAGACGTGAGAGCTGCCAACTGGGGTCCATACTTTTGGCTGCAGGCAAATGTGTGGTAAACAGTGAAGTGATTATGAAGGATTTATCAGGCAGGTCCCATGGATGGCTTGCCTCCGCCTCACATGAATAATGCTGTGAGTGGCAGTTGAAGCAGGATCCTTCCCATGGGAAGTGGGCCTAGGACAGAGTTGCCAGCCTTTGCCGCAGATACCCAAGGTCCTCTCAAAGGATGAATCCTGCACTGAGCAGGAGGTTGGGCCCGATGGCCTCGTTCGAAAGCAAGAGAAGGCGCAGTGACAGGGTGCCTCGTATTCTGGTTTAAGTAGGAGCCAAAGTAGCAGGACATCACTGGCATTATAGCTAAAGCCAAAGTGCTGGTGGTGCCCTTTGTATACGGCTTCCCACACCAAGAAGTCTCTCTGTTTCAGTGGAAAGCACTGGCCTTGCATGGACGTGGGCTGGCATTCCTCGCCTAGCATTCCTTTGCTGTGCCAAAGAGGGATTACTTTGACTTACAGCAAAAGCGGAGAGAGACGGCAGCACTGGTGCACCTCAGATGTGAACCAAGCTGGTAGGGGAAACAACGTGGGCAACTTGTGGCTCTGCAGATGTTTGGGCCTATGACTTCTGAACAAATGAACTTACAACTTCCTTAGCACTGGGTGTGCTGATTGGTGCTGATGGGAGTTCTGTCCCTTCAGCTGTCCTGGCTTAGACGGTGCCCACCAATATTCTAGAAAGTTCCCATCGTGCTTGCTATGGTGCCCATGCTTTTCAGCTTGATGTACCTGAATTAGGGAGTCAAAGCTCTTTCGCCTGAGGGCCAGTTTCTGGTTCAGTGAAGCCTCGGGACCACATTCAAATGGGCAAGGCGAAGGAGCAGTGGCCAGAAATACCACCCTGTTTTAGCACCAAGCTCGACTGGAACTTAGCCTAAGGAGAGGCATTTCAACCATTGAGTGTGTGTGTGTGTGTGTGTGTGTGTTGAGTGCCAGGCATTGCATAAAGGATGTAAAAGGACCAAATGACCAGTGGCCCGTATTAGTCCCACAAACCTGAGGATCCACATCCCTCAGCTAACTGAGCAGTGTCCATAACCTTGGTGTTCATGCCAAGACACACGGCCCTGCACTGTTGTGCTGGGCTGCTTTTGCTTCAAGACTCTGCTAGAGGGAACAGTGGCCTGATGCAGGCTGGCAGGGCCATGGCCAGAAGAAGCCGCCCAAAGCCATTGCTTAGGCCAGCTCTCATGCACTGTGTGCCTGACCTGACCCCCTCTGGAACGGCCCATCTCGACTAGGTTCTTCCGAATCGCTTGCTAAGTTAATCTCTATCACTGTTCCAGAACTTCAAGCTGGATAATGGTCCAGCTACCGTTTGGTAACAGTCCCTAGCAGCACACAGACTGTGCCATGGGAGAACCGGCAGCTGGCGACACATGGGGTGTCATGGCCACGCAGGTAGCGGCCCATGTTGGACCAACAAGCTAGGGGCGCTTTAGTCTGACCTGGCAGGCTGTGTGGGATAGCACAGGTTCAAGGTGATGCCTCAGCTGCGGCGACTAAACACCATCGATCCCCAGAGAGGGTTCCTTATAGATACAACTTGACCTCCCTGTATGTTCGCTTGCAAATGTCCCACTAAGAGGTGTTTTGGGCGGGTTCCCAGGTTAGTGTGTGCATGGCCTTTGACAATAATACTCCTAGCCACTTATGTGAAATGAGAGGCACTGGCACTCTTAAGATCACACTGCAACAGTCCTCATTTATACACACCGTCATGTGAGCGTTAATAAAACTCTTCTGTGGTTTATGCTTCATTTATTCATTTATGTACTTTATTTCCAAGGCAGCCTATAGCAGGAATACAAATTGTGCAAATATGTGCAAATTTCTCTAACAAGTTATTATGGGCATAAGAGCAAAATGAAAGCTGTTGCACCATTACCTATGGGACCAACTCCCTTACATGAAAAAGGCTGGCCTTTTATAAGCAATCGAAGGAAGGTGTTCATCCACACTTGAGACAGTGTTCTTCATTTTAACATGATTCCACAGACACAGTGGGAACGCTTGCTTTTCTTTCAGGAGGCATGAACAACACATAGCTTTGGCAGTGTTCAGATCAGTTCTACATTTTTGCTTGCTTGTAATTTGTTAAGCGACTGGCCTCTTCAGGCCTGCATTGATCCCTTGTCAGCTCATTGTGCAACCAAAGTGCCAGTCCTGCAAAAGAGTCCAGTCAAGCAGCAGTAGGACAACCTTTGCATGGTGTGAAGGGGAAATGATGGAGGAAACATCAGCTGCTTTATTTCTGTGAGTCAAATTGCTGTTGAAAGGCACTGGAGCAGGGCAATAAAGGAAAGCCGGCAATCCTTCGTCCAGGGGTGATTCCACGCATGTATTTTGCCACTATTGTAATGCTTGACTAACTGGGATGTCACTTAGCACCACAACCCTTTCTTGCTATTTATTAAATTTATATCCTGCTTTTATCATTCAAAGAACTCACAGCAGCTTACATGATTCTCCTACTGCTCTCAATCTTGTCCCCACCACAACAACCACCCTGTGAGGTAGGTTAGGATGAGAGTCTGTGACTGGCCCAGAGTCACCAGTTGGCTCCATGGCTGAGTGAGGACTAGAACCACTCAGTTCTAATAAATAAATGCAGGGAGTTGCTTAATAGTGAGGCTGAAGAAAGAACAGCTTTGGATATGGACAAGATCAAGACAGTGTCCAAGACAGGGAAATCAGTCTGAAGGCAGAGATCAAAGGAAGAGAACTAGCAAGAGAAGACAGGTTGATAGTTGGGTCAGAGGGAATATCAACAAGAAAACGGAGGTCAACAAAAAGCAAAGTGGGGAGATTTGACAGAGACAAAGAAAGGAAGTCAGGCATCAAAGTCTGAAATGATGGCTTAGTGGGGGGTGGAAATACCAGTGGGCAGAAACAGAATAACAATACTGGAAATGCAAAGGGAAGAAAAATGAATTTCAGAATAAATGTAAAACATAGAAAAGTAGAATGTAACAAGTAGAAAAACTATGTAGGCAGAAGCTGGCATTGGTATATTCTGATTTCTCTCTGTGGTGGTGGTGGGATGCCAACACTAAGACAATGTTCTTCAGGGTGAGGTGCAGGAAAAGAGATCTTCAGAGAAGACAACAATTGTTATAACTCTGGGTGGGTGCAGTGCAGGTAGCTGGAGGAATCAAGAGAGGAAAATATAATGGCAAGTGGCAGCTTCCTGGACTGGGAATGGGAATATATGAAGGGCGGAGGAAAGACTGTGAATGAGGAGATCCTCAGGGGTTGAGTGTGGGTTCAAGTTGAACCACGGGTTGTTGTTGAAACAGGAGTTCTCATGCTGTGTGATGGCCACAGCTAGATAACTACAGACGACCCACAAAGGTAACCCCTGGGTTGCTGCTGAGTGGAGAACCGTGGGTCATTCAGCATGGTTTATTTTCTCAGCTAGGTTCAGGCAACAGGATAACCCACGGTTCAGTGACTACTGCACACACCCATACTCAGCCACGGGGTGTGGGTGATGGAGTTGTCTGCACCCCGCAGCGTGTGGGTGGGTGTCATCCTGCTAGGGATAACTACCAGTAAATTGAGAATATTGACAAGGGTATGGCAGGAACAAAGAGAGGGCTGCTGGGCAAACAGTGGGAGGCAAAACCCACGACACAGTCCCCCCCCCCCCCCATGTTCTTAATGTGTTCTCACTGTAGAGCTCCAGCATGACTAGACTAGGCCAGTATTGGTCTCAATAAGCACCGCTTGCACCCACATCCTGAAGAGTGCCCTCACCCGCCAGCACAACGGCTCTCGCTGAACGTTCCCTCCAGCCAGGCCCTCTTCCAGAAGACAGCTTTCCTTCCATCCTCCCACCTAGACAGTTTCCAGTTTTCCTATGTCTTGTCCAGCCAATACTCAGCATCGCATGGCTGCTCAGCATGTTCTGTCCTTATTGGCTAGCTGACTTATTTGCTTTCATCCACCCTTAGATTTTTTTTTTTTAACCTAGTGCAGTTTAGAAACTTTGGGGTCTGCGCAAGCGTACAGATACCCCCCCCCCCCCGTTTCATCGTTAGCCCTATTCTCTCCCTTTCTATCAGCTCCCACCATCAGCAGTTGGCATTAGAAGGAGTGATCTAGAGAAAACTGCAAGGACTGGGAGGCCTTTCATGGTCAGGCAATCCCTGCAGATGACTTTTCTTCATTCATGCACCCGCTTTAAGTGAACAGATGAGACGACTTCAGTGCTGCACTTGAAAGGTTTTATTAAGGCCCCACACATTTCAGGTTGCAATGCTTTTCTTTAGAGGAAATAATGAAACCAGAATCCATCCACATATCTGTATGAATTCAATTATTACACAAAACTCCTTGAAGCACAAAAATGACATAATAACAAAAGAATAATGAGTCAAAGCCTATAAAATGGCTCATAAACAACACAAAGTTATCATCAGAGAACCATTAGTTTAAATTTAATCTTACTTCACTTGAAAAATACCAGTTCTGTTCCTCCCAGCAAATATATAACAAAATACGAAATCTTTCTCTCCAAATGAATATTAATATCATCTTTTTATTTCATAAGTATGAGGACTTCTAGAATTAGGCTCACAGTGATGTGAATCTAATTCAGAAGCTCTCATATCTTTGATAAGTAGTAGGTTTGGGCTTTGTGTTATCCTTTCCCCCAGAGAAGCCTGGAAACCTGCAGGATGCTGGGCCTTAATCAGCTCTTTCAAGTGCCTCCTTGAGCAGTAGGCTACCATTTCTGGCTAGCCTCAATGCCACTTGATTCAGGAGTGTCCCAGCGGGAAGAAGCAGACAGACTCAAATTGCTCCAGAGAAAGAAATCATCTTTCCAAAAGGCCTTGGGTTTTAACACAGTTTGGAAACTTTGAGAAATAATTTCTCCTCCATGTTCCTATTGCATGCTATCTCTGCCTCATGGCTGCTTGTTTACTGGTAACCAAGCCAAAAATTGTGGTTACCTGGTTTGTGCCATCCGACCCTTCAGCCTAGCCAATGCTCTCCACAGCAGTGGGTGAGAAACTAGCAAAGGAAAGGAAGGTGGAAGGGCCTCATCGGCCACTGGTTAGAGGAAGATGCCCCCCACAACCATTGGCTGACATGTCTTGCTTCCCCACTGCAGGACCAAATCATTTTGCTGCCTCAGGCAAAGGCCAAGATGGCAGCACTCTTCGTTTTGTGTACTGAAGGCTGCTGGTCTCTCAGCAGCATCTTGTTTCAGCCCTGGAGAGGGGCAGTTTTCTCCACCACACCTCAGGAGAGCAGACTCATTTAGGTAGTGCAGAGCAGGCTGCCTGGTACACACTACTTTGACCTCTAGTCCCTTGCCGGTGGTCCCTGCCCTTTCGCAGCTGCTGCCTCACCTTGCTTACGGGTAGGACCAACCCTGCGCTTCCCTGCAGGAAAGAGTGAGCAGGTTCGGCAGTGGCCAGGGAAGCCTCCTGTCTCCCTCCCCTACTTTAAAGGAGGAACCTGGGTTGGGGATTGGTTGGCTTGGCCCTGCATGGCTGAGCTGGCTGCTCAGACATAGCCCACCTTGGAGCAGGGATGGCGATCACTGTGCCGCTGCCAGGATATTTCCCTCCCACTGCTGCAGCCCCAGCCTTTTCAGGTTCAGTCACAAGGGTGAGCCCAGCAAAGGAAAATGCCTGCACTTGAGGCTTTCCTTTTCATTTGCGGCAAATGCATGGAAGGCCAATGGTTTCATCAGAAGAGAGGACAAGGGATAGCGCTGCTTTGGAAATAGGCTTCAGATGTCATCTCTAGCCAGGTAACCCCTTCAGCTCAGCACTGTAAGCCTACCTTGATCAAGGCTAAATGGAAAATCTCCAGGACTAGGCCAGAGCCTGCCATCCATCAGTAACACGCTGAACCTTCCTGTACAAAGAGGCAGGCTGCTTCAATTGCATGCCCTTCTGACTTGATATCTGCGCTCAGAATGGAAAGCCTCTGACAGAGTCATGTCTCTGGTGAGAATATTTTCCGACTCAATAATTTCCTTAAGGCATCCTTCACCTCCTTGTTTCGAAGGCTGTAGATGAGAGGGTTCATCATAGGGGTCACCACAGCGTAGAAAACAGATGCAGCCTTCCCCTGGCCTGTCGCCGAGCTGGCTGAGCTGGGCCTCATGTAGGCAAAGAGCGCCGTGCCATAGAAGAGGCTCACCACTAGGAGGTGCGCGGTGCAGGTCGAGGCGGCCCGCCGGCGACCTGCAGCCAAGCGGATGCGCCAGATGGCCACCCCGATGTGGGCATAAGAGGTGGCGATGAGGAGGAAGGGCAGAAGCAGCAGGAGGGAGCCGAAGACAAAGACAGCTGCCTCTGCCTCAGTGTAGTCGGCCGACGCCAGTCGGATCACCGCAGGGACCTCGCAGAAGAAGTGGTTGATGTGGTTCTGGCCATGGTAGGGCAGGCGCAGGGCAAAGGCGCTGACAATGAGGGAGCTGAGGGAGCCGCTCGCCCAGGCAGCGCCTGCCCCCCGGCTGCAGAAGCGCCGGCTCATGATCTCGGGGTAGCGCAAGGGGTGGCAGATGGCCACGTAGCGGTCGTAGGCCATGATGCCCAGCAGCACGCACTCGGCCATCCCGAAAGCCAGGAAGATGCACATCTGGAAGGCACAGTGGGCAAAGGGGATGGCTCTGTGCCTGGAAAGGAGGTGCGTCAGCATCTGTGGGACTGTGACTGAGGAGTAGCAGAGGTCCAGCAGCGACAGGTGGAGAAGGAAGAAGTACATGGGGGTGTGCAGGCGGCACTCAGTGACGATCAGCACTGCCATCGTGCCGTTCCCCGCCAGGGTCACCAGGTAGGCTGCCAGGAAGAGGAGGAAAAGGGCGGTTTCGGCAAGCATCCCTTCTGCGAGGCCCAGGAGGATGAACTCTGCCACAGCACTCTGGTTTTGCGGCCCCATTGGATGGTCACCTGCAGAGCTGGGGAAGGAAGAAGGGAGGGCTCTCAGAGCTCACAGAGGCAGCTACACTCTGCAAGCTGTTGATGCCAGGCGCCGTTGCCATATTGCTCCCAGGAATTCAGAAAGGGCCATCTCAAAATTACCGACCATGCCATTTCATTCTTATTTTCCAAGTCTTCCTCCCTTGCCTTGCTAGTAACAGTTTGTTCTGTAAAAAATGCCTGCTTTTAATTAAGATTTTAATTAAGGAGAACTAGCACATAGGCGAGTGTGCAAAGCCGCTTTTTCTTTCACTTTAGCAATTCTGCTCACACCTTTGCAACGCAAGGTATCTTCTGCTCCCCTGAGGTATGCAACCTCTTTGAATGGCCATTCTGGACTAAAAATGCCTGTTGACTGTGCCGTTTGCAAGTTACTGATTTTTGTTGCAACCTGAACAGCAAGGTTGCTTTCAGGCAAACAACTTCTGGAACCAAGTTCCCAGTTTTGAACACTGAGAGACATCTAAAGGTGCTTTATTGTATTGCAGTCATGTGTTTCTCTTAAAATGTCACAAGGCCATGCAGGAAATACTTGTGATGGCATTTATTGTGGGACAGTTATGCACCAACTTATATGGAGGGATGTCTCTATTATGTCCTCTCTTAGTAGGCAGAAGAGGAGGAGGAGGAGGAGGAACCGGTGCCGGCGGCAGCCCACAAATGCTCAAACCTTTCTTGGATACTGGGTTATTTTGATTCCTCCCTTTTGCTCTGTTTCTAACTCTGCCATATTCTTTTTTGCAGTGGAACAGCCAGAGCTGTGCTCAGGAGAACTGGGCATATATCACATGATTAGACTTAGAGCCCCATTTGACTTGGACCAAATCAGAGATGCCTTTTTTAATTTGGACCTGAATCCGGATCTTTGATTCAGAAGTCCAACTCCTTATGCCTCCCATTGATTATGACTGGAAATCAATGAATGCCTGGGTATATTTTTCTGCTAGCCATAACTGAATGAAATCAGCAAGCAAAGCAATCTTTTATGAGGGAATTATGGCCACTAAATTCCAGACAACTGGCTATAAAATTTCAGGTACTACATGCCTTTGAACAAAGGGAACTGCTGGTCACTTTTTATTTCTTTGCAGAATAGGATGTAATTTGCAGAGCTCGGTGCACCTTTCCGAAGGGATCATCCCTGCTTCATTTCTGATGAAGAGGCGTTGGACGCTTGGTGCCTGAAGCTCTCCAGAAGAGCTTGTTGTGACACCTGTCCATTTCCATGGCAATTGTGATAAGTGGCTCTAGTGAAGTAACTTGGAAAATTGTAGCAGTTGACAGGCAGTGCTTTTTGTGCAAAAGAGAAAGAAAACTAGCACAGAGCACTGAAGGCTGGATCAGGTCTGAGAGAGATGACTTCAACTCCTTTCTCCCAAGACCCTGGGATCTGAGAGCCTTTCTAAAACCAGTCACTCTCACCTAAAATGGAGCTGCCAGTCTTCCCCTCTCCCTGCCCTGGTGTTTTCCTTGTATGGGAGACTTGAGGAGAGATGTATCCATCATTGGAGACATGCTCGGGGTTTCTCTGTGTCCCTCTGAATCATGACTTTTCAGATTTGGACTTAGCCCACTTTGGAGGACATCACCAGAATCTGCTTCAATTTGGACATCTCTCAGATGTGTCAGAATCAGTCCAATTCAGTTTAGGATTCATCTGAATTCAGTGCATGCTCCTAACACACAGTGCTCCAAATACAGCTGTACCATAGTATTATATAAAGACATAAAGATATTTTCAAGGGTATTTTCCAGTCCTTTCCTGATCATCTATAGAATGGATCCTCTTTATTTCACAACCACGGACACTGTTGGTGCTTTCGATGGGCTGATTCTTTTATTCCATGATTTATTTCCTGGTGAGGACCAAATGATTGTTGTTGTTGTTAATATTCCACTTATTCCCAGTGATTGGGCAGTCAGCCATTCCTTGATTGGATTTCCCCACATTTTAAAAAATTTCTTACTACATTATATTCCACTGCTCAGCCCTTCTTCTAAGGAATCCAAGGAGGCTTACTTACTCTTATTCCTCCTCCTCTCCCTTTTATCCTTTTAACTATCTTGTAAAGTAGGTTAGGTTTGAGACCTGCTGACTGTCCCAGAAATCACATGATGAGTTTCTTGGGCAGGTAGGACTAGAACCCAGATCTCCTTAGTCTCAGTCCAAACTGTAATTACTACACCACACATCGTTCTTCATAGACAGTAGTGATGAGGGCTTCAGTTTGGATTGAACTCCAGTTCAGATTGTGGTGTGGCATTGGTGTTAATGGTGCTTGAATTATAATCTTTGCTTCCATGCTATATCGCCAATCCTGCCTTCAGATTCATAAGAGGAAAACAGACAGAAATCGGAACCATACATTTCTCCTTCCATGGCTAATGACAGAATCAAGAGATGTTTTCAGTCAGATAACTGAGAAGACACCCTCCCTTCTCTTGCTCTGCAGCCTGATTCAAATTGAACCCCATGTTTCTGTTTAAAGGGAAAAATGCAGGAGGCATTCCAATCACAGCATCCCCATAGAATGTGTAGTTCCCAGTCTCTGCTAGTTCAGCCTTTATCAGTATATATGTGAAAATTTAGGACTTTTTAAACCATACATGCATCAGTTTACATTTTCTTATGAGACCATTGTACTCTGCTTCCTTAGAAACTCTCAGTTCTGCCTAAATTATACCGTAGTAGGTGAAGCATTTGCTTCACCTGGGCAGATAGATCCTGAAGCTAAAGTCAGAAGCGGGCATCTGATGCATTGCTTATAGAATCTCTTTCATCCCAGTATGCCCTTTTCTAATGTTTTCGGAAGTGAAGGTCACACAATTAAAGCTCCAAGCTGGAAACAGAGGGCAAACTCCCCTTCTCTCCATGTTGTACACTCTGCCACAGGACACCCCACCTTTCCTTGGGCGGCTTGGCCCTGTAGACCAAATAGTGAAGTCCGTACTGACTGTGAGCACCACTGGTCCCAAAGCTGCAGTCTGAGCCTGTGCAGGTTCATTTTGGATGAAAGGTTCAAATGTTACACATTACTTCATAATTCCATGGCTGAAACTCACTGTGATGTTTCTTCTGTCATGGGAAGGGGTGGGTGAGCAGGTGCAGTGAACCGAAGGGCCAGGGCAGCCCTGAGGGCCACAGACGCAAACTGGTGTTCAGCTTTCTTTTGCTTTAGTATATCGAGGCTGCTGGATGTCGGATGCCTAGCCCTTTGGATTTGTGCCAATTCTCCAGCTTAAATCACACGTCCAACCCAAAGTTATGATTACTCAGAAACAGGGAGATATAAGAGTATGGATCTTAAGTCTTTATAGTTGCTTCAGATGGCATTAGGATTCAGGCCATGGCCTAGGAACAAAAGTTTATATCCAGGCTTTCAGTGTAATCAAGTGCAATCAGACCTACTCCTTGGTTTGAGTAAGAATTGCAGCTACAGCAGACCACTGAAATTAATGGGGCTTTGCATAGTCATGATTTTGGCGGGTCTGCTTCAAGCATAATTAAGTCACAATCCAATCAAAAGTCCTCCCCCTGTATGATGGCCCCAATCCAAACCCTCCAACTGCTTTTTAAGAAAGAAAAACTGGGAAGTTCCATGTGAGGAACTCCCACTTACTATCTAATTTTCCCCTAAGCCTAGTTTTGCTCTAAGTAATTTAATACTCACAAACTTAATCTCCAATAAATATGTGTTTTTCCTTCGGCTGCAATCCTAAACATACCAATTTGGAATGAAGAGCTATTCAAAACAGAGGAATGGATGAATAATTCCAGCTGTACTATAAGCCTTTTTTATTTATATCCAAGGATCGTGTGCTTCAGAAAACTGTATTCTATGATATAAACAACCAGGGCAGAATATGCTAATTTTTCCTAGTCTATTGAACTGCAAAACTCAACATTTTGCACACTTTAGGATTTTCTCCAGTGATAGACTGATAGAAGAGAAAGAATAAAATTGAGCAGAGAGAGTATTGTGTGTTTTAAAAGTGGAAGGACTGGCTGATTCAGAATCAAGAGACTCTGCCTTTTTATTCTTATGACTTCTAGTTTTTTTATATTGTATTTTGTCATGTACCACTGCTATACCTCTGTGTGAGTCATCTGCAATTGCTGTGGTTTTATTGTTTTATTTATTTGTCTGTTATTTATTTTGTAACATTTATATCCTGCCTTTTTCCTTTCAAGGAACTCAAGACATAAAAAGACATTATGTCTTTGTTTTGTTATGTGTTTTTAACTTGTTAACCACCCAGAGAGCTCGGACTATTCGGCAGTATAAAAATGAAGTACATACATAAATAAATAAAATAGTCAGGCATCTTCTGCTTTCTGATGTTTCTGAGAAACAAGATCAACATGTGAATATCACCTTTCCCTACCCCTAGGCTTAGAAACATGGGCATTTTTAAAATGAGAGTTCAGAGTCTTGGTATTCCCTTTATCCACCACTGGAAGTTCAAGTGTGGCATGACTGTGGTAGCCTTCCTTTCAATCCCTTATCTGCTCAGACGTATTGAAGTCTACTCCTAGCTCAGTTGTGGAAGGGTAGGCAACCTGAGGCCTTCCAGATATTTCGGTTAATATCCTTTTGGTATAGTTTTGGTGCTCCTCGTCTCAAAGCCCATACAATTTTAAGATTCTCTGGTTAATTCAATCTGAATAATTTTGCAGAGACAGTTTGCATTTAGTTTAAGCTAGAACATCACAATCTTACTCCATTATTTCAGAGTATCTCCAGACTCTGGAATAGGCACCATAACTCCTTGGTATCCCTTATTTCTGCAACAATTATCCAAGCAAAGCTATGTTCAACCAGCATATGTCGAATGAAAAATTAACATTCACAGTAACATTTTGTTCTATACAAAGGGAAATAGTTGTGTGTTTACCTGATGTATTTCAGCTTCCAAGGTGAGCATATTTCCTAAGATGGGATGATTTCCCTGTCAGTGAAGTTTAATTTGCCATATATCAGAAGGGAATGGTGTGACAAAGGCTGCCATACAGCAGAAAGTCCCACCGCGTCAAGCTCCACACGTTATAAGCCCAGGAGCCAAGGAAGAGGTCCCCAAGCGCATGGCTGTCTTTGCAGTGAATGGTGGGGCCAAAACATCTCTTGGGGGCCGTAGGCACAAACAAGTTTTCAACTTTCTCCTGCTGTTGTTTCACACCAATGATTAAAAAGGGAAGTTTTTCTTATTATTGAGTTCAAAATGACTAAGTTTGGATGGCAGAGAGTTTATGGCGGTGTTCTGGTGGGAGGCACATGCAAGAGGTGGATTTTGTGAACCATTGCTGTTTCTCAGGATGCTTTGCTGGCCAAGCAGCTACAAAAGGAAGCTGCTGTTTTGGACAGTGACTCTGACCCCTGACTTTTCATGCAAAGTTTGGGAAAGTGTCCCTTTGTAAGCAGTTGCTTTGTCTGAACTGAGGAAGTAAGGTTCAGTTTCCTCCTATAATGTGATTCTACACAGACATGGGGACCTTGGTTTATTTAAGAGGTTTGAGCCTACATTTTCAGAATTTACGCTTTAGAACACAGAATCTGCAACCCTAGCCTACTCCTACTATCGGATGTTTCTGTTCATGCTGTTATGCAGCTGACTCTGCTGTCTTTGTCCAGTACAACTTCATCTCCTCTGCCTTCTCCTCTGTTTTACACATGGCTAACGATTGTAAAATGTTGTGCAGTTAAATAGCCAGATCCATAGATAGTCATGCTTAGGATTTGTCTAAATATAAGAAGATAAGAAGAGATGGCTAGATCAGACCAGAGGTCCACCTGCTCCCTGTGTGAAGCTTCCAAGCAGGATGTTAAGCCAAGTGGTCCTAGACCTAGGCACTAAATTGTTTCTTCATAGGATAATTGCTTAGTGCCTTGATCCTTTGGTTGCTTGTTGTGGCAACAGAACAGTAGAGCTAGAAGCGACCAATAAGGCCATTGGGTCCAATTCCCTACTCAGTGCAGGACTCAAAGCAATCACAGGATATTTCTGTTGTTTAGTGGCAAAGTCATGCCTAACCCATCACAACCCCATGGACAACATTCCTCCAGGCTCTCCTGTCCTCCACCATCCCTCAGAGTCCACCCAACCCCACAGCCACTGCCCCAGTGACTCCATCTAGCCACCTCACCCCCTGCCGTCCCCTTCTCCTTTTGCCGTCAATTGTTCTCAGCGTCAGGCTCTTCTCCAGGGAGTCCTCCTTGCTCATTAGGTGGCCAAAATATTTTAGTTTCACTGTCAGTATCTGGCCTTCTAAAGAGCAGTCAGGGTTGATTTCCTTCTGTAATCAACATCTTCATCAAGCTGTCTACCCCACTCTCCCAAGAGCTCTTCCTTGGTTGGTCATTGCCAAGAGCTCTTCGAACCCATCCATGTGCATATGAAGTTGGGATTTTCTATTCCGGTATCTATAACATTATATTTGCTTGCACTGAACTTAATTTGCCACTGCAATACTTTTCCTCCCAGTATGCAGAGATCCTTTTAGAGTGCATTACAATCCCTTTTTGTTTTAAACACCCTAAACAATTTGGTGTCATCAGCTCACTTTACTACCTCCTTGTTCGCTCCTAATCTCAGATCATCTACAAATGGTTGAAATGCATTGGCTCAATACATAACCGCAGGGAACACCCAGAATTGCATTGGCCTTCGTAGCTGCTGCATCACCCTGTTGCCTATATTCAGCTTGTGATCTAGTGAGGCAGCTAGGCCCATTCATTCATTCATTCATTCATTCATTCATTCATTCATTCACATATTTATAGGCTATAACTGCCAAAAGGCCTTCCTAGGTGACTTACAACATAATCACAAGCATTGCTGCCAAGCCAGGTCTCTCCATCCTGTATTTGTGTCTTTGATTTGTTGTTCCTTCAGTGGCGCTCATCTTGCCAGATTTCAGCCCAATCTTTCCATTCTGTCTTGGTCCCTTTGAACCTCGATCCTGCCTTCAGCCATGCTGTCTGCTATCAAGGCCATCTCCCCTGCTTTGTCTCATCTGCAGATATGATAAATAACCCCCTACTCGCTCATCCAGGTCATGTGCAAAAATGCTGAAGAGCACAGAGACTAGGGCAGCACCCTGAAGCATTCCACATCTTCCACTGAAGCCATTCATTCGTATTCATTAGCCAGTAACTAGTACCAGCTGTGGACCCACCTAATCATAGCATGGTCCAAACCACATTTACTAGCTTGTCAACCTTGTAAAATGCTGTGCTAAAATCAAGATAGACGATGACCACTTGGTAGATTCCCATGATCTACCAAGCCACCAATAGTATAAAAATAGGAGATAGGTTGGTCTGGCATGACCTATTCTTTATAAATCCAAGGTTGATTTCTAGTGATCAGTGCATTGTTTTCTTGATATTCACAGACTTACTGCTTAATTAACAAGGAGTGGCAAGCAGGATTTATGGGAAAATCCAGCATGTGTACTTAATCCAAAAGTCTTCGGACAAAATGTTTTTTGTTCAGGATTTTATGTCAAACTGCCTTTTTAAGAAACAGGACTATGATGCTATGGAGGGCTCACTGTGATCACTCTGTGGGTCTCCATGATGCCAAGTCCCCAACACTCAAGATCCACTGGACGACTCTGCAAGGAAACGACAGCAGACATGTGCAGGAAGTCATCTTTTTTGCTACCACAACCACCACTGAGTAAGCTTTAGAATGAGCTTGAGTCTGCTTCCGGTGAGGATCAACTTTTATTTTGTCCTCTACTTACACTCTAGCTCATGGGTCCTCAAACTAAGGCTCGCGGGCTGGATCCGGCCCACCGTGCCCTTTTAACCAGCCCGCCCCACAGGTTTTGCACTTGCTGGGTGCGCGTGGGGCTTGCTCACGAGGAGGTCATTTTGGATTCACTTGGAAACAAGCTCCTCATGAGCAAGTCAGTGCCCCGCGCCCCCCATCTCTGCCTCGCCTTGTGTGCGCATGCGCATGTGCCCCGCCCCCCACACCAGCCTGCCCCTCTCCGCAGCCACCGCTGGCACCTGTCAACTGGCCCCCTGTTCAAAAAGTCTGAGGACCCCTGCTCTAGCCGTTGGTTTTGCCACTTCTTCCCTCCAAGCTTTCTAGTATACAAGGGCCAGCCAAGCTCTAATCGGAACCATAATATTTTTTTGCAGAAATGGCTTTAAACTACCCCCTCCCACCCACAGACACATACATGGACAAAATACCTATAGAGGTTTGCCTTAAAAGGACCTCCCAGAATCACCTTGAATGGGGAAAGTCAGACTTTTCTGTGCCAGGCCGCTCCTGGGTGGATGTGCCACGTTACCTGGCTCATTTGCATCAGTACAAAAGGCAGGCGGAAGCAGGTCACACCGGCAGCTCTGAACGCTTCACCAGGACCTGCACCATTGGTCTTCTGTAGTCAGCAGGTGTGTGAGGTATGACTCGGCCACTGTGCTTAGGACAAGTTGAAAAAACCAAACTTGACAGGGGCTTGCACGGAAAGCCATTTGTTTGTTTGCTTGCAACTCTGCAATCAAATCAACTAACCAGAAGACATCCTCTAAGAATAGTACATGCAGAGAGATGCACAGCAGTAAATTGCGACTCAAGTTATACCAGTATCTATTGAATATTTACAGATAACGCTAATAATATGATCACATGTAAAAATGGGTACAGTTGGTCTCCACTGAGTTCCCATCACCTGAGAGACTGCAGGATGAAGACACATTCAGTGCATTACAGGTCTCTTGTCACCTTCGGGACTGAGCCAAATTGAGGGGTGTTTCCTAGAAACTGTTTGCTGCACCTTGTGCCAAATGAAGCTCCCCGAGGCTTTCTCCAGTCTCTCCTTTTTAAAAGAAGAAATGAATGACGGTCTGCAGGGTCTTTCTCTGGTTCCCCATTGCAGGCTTTAGAAGGGCTTTGAAACCCTGTGAAACAAAATAGGTCAGGTATGTGGCTTGGGCCGTGGATACTATATTTACTTTTTTAAACTCTGTCATGCAGCTGAGCACTATACATAGCCACCTTTGCTCAAGGCGAAAGGCTTCAGCGCATGGAGTTCTTTTCCTTTCCAAAAATGCCTAGGAGTTTAATTAAACTTCTAGCATAAACCAGTTGGCGGAAGACAGCACCTTTATCAGCTTGTTGATTGCTTGCAGTTCCAAGTAAGTTATTGTTGTTAGTTACCAAACGTCTGTCAGTGTCAAATGGGCATAATTATTTCTTCAGAAGCTTTGCTTTTCATCTTTCACCAAGAAATATGTCAAAATTGCCCTCTTTCCTCTACTTTTCTTGCATAACTTAAAATGATTTGAGCATTACAAACATTTTAATCTGTAGCAGTACTGAACACAGATATGTTCATACCATGTAATGGGCAGTAAGGCTATTAACCTTCTAGCACGTCCTTGTATGCCATTCTTGGATCTCAATTTTGCAAAAAAAAAAAAAAAAAATGCTTTGGTGGATTCATTTGAAAATCCAGAATTTCAAAAGCAGAGAATTGTTTTTGTGGGCTTTTGTAAACTTCTGTAAACTTTGCAGGCATCAATTCTGGATAAAAAAAATCTTACAATAATTCAGACATTGGCATGCAATGCCTAACATATGCTCAGTTCTCCTGCTTGCTTGCCTTTTATTGCTGCAAAATTAAGCAAACCTGATGACATTCCTCTTCCAGCTCAATTTGTTCTCCTTTTGCCAGGTGAAGATGGGTGTCCTTGCTGTACTAATCCTGCCACTGCTTGTGGTTGGAATCAGTGGGATTGTATATATTTATCGGACAGTTGTGCACCTGATGTCAAAATCTGCTGTTCGGAGCAAAGTGGTAGTGATCACCGATGCTCTTTCTGGTGCGGGCAAGGGTAAGTAGCTGCAGCACGCACATCCCATCCACACCGACATGGAACCCCACTCAAACCCACACGGGTTCTATGAATCTGAAGAGCTGTTGCTGCAGTGCCATGGAGAATCTAATCCTCTGGAATGTGAGGCATTCAGAATCCTAGAATCTTAGCATTCATTAAAAGGAAACAGATAATGTTCTAGCCCTCATGATTGTAACTGAAAACATGGGAATGTGGAGAGTATCATCTAAATGCTTGGAAGCCTAATTAGTCAAAAGGCTTTAGCACTGGGGGGAACACTCTGGATCTTCTCAGTGATATTACTGCAGTCATGGAATGATAGAGAGGGGACCCAGGAGACCATCTAGTCCAACCCCCTGCTTAGTGCAGGCTTTACAATGCAGGATGCAGCTAACTGGTGGAGGAGTTTCTCTGACTTGCTCAGTTTAGTTCCAACCATCTCTCTTTCTTTCCTGTGCTTTCTCACATCACATCAAATCACCCGTATTCTGCGCTTCAGCTCAGGGATTGCCTTCCAGTGACCTACATATTCTTTCCCCTCCATCACATCCTGAGACAAATTCAAATTCTGTAGAAATCAAAATGTTGTAATTGAAATAAATTACAAAGGCTAAAGACAATTTTTGGTTTTGATGTGGGGCACGGAGTAGGGAAAATACACATCCACAATTCAGAAGTGCATACCTGTAAATGAATCGGGTTTGCCTAATTGATTCTGTAACAGGGATGGGGTCTTTCTTGTTGCAAAATGTACCCATTAACTGTTAGTGCTGACTTCTAGAACTTCCTTTACAGAATATATACAAACTTGTACAAAACTGGAGGAGCGATAAAACCCGTGCGGTGTTGCTTAGGACTGCCATGGCCACACAACTTTCTCACAATTGTGCGTGGGGAGGAGCGACCTCAGGAGCATCTAGAATTAGTGAAAAAGCTGCCTCCCCAAACAGTAAATCTTAGATGAAATAAATGGATCTATTTTTAGCAGGATGGCTGTGCTGTTGTGGCGAGCTCTGGTTGCACATACAGTAACTATCAGGTGGCAGCGAGCGGGTATAAATAGACTATTTCTCTAATCCATAAGTTATGCTCCAGTGCTGAGGTTTACAATTTGAGGGCAGCAAGTTGGCATGCAGAAGGTTATCTTGAAATGAAATTCAAGGAGCTCAGCCCTTGAAGGGGCAGCGGCGATGGTTTCGTAGCTACAGGGGGAATGCAACGTGAGGCAACCCAGCCGTCCGGCCTTCTCCAGCACGGCTGTTGCTCTACTTCCTGCCAGTGGGTGGGAGCAGGAGCAGCAAGTGAGGCATCTCTGGGGCTCTTCGGCATCCATTGGCAGATGCAGCAGGGGGAGTGCACAAAGATACCGAGCCGGACAAGGTCCCCCTGCCTTGCATCCACAGGATCGTGGGCGAGCAGATCTCTGCATTTGCTGGAGCTTCTGCCAGGGTTGAGAGAGGAAGATGGAGCAAGTCTCTCTGGAGGTGGGGCCGGAAAAGGACATGAGAGAAAGTGTGGGCAAAGGACAGCCATACTGTGTGAGCTGTTTGCCAGGCTTACTCAGACCCAGGAGTCATCGTGTCATGAGCTGGGTTTTCCTCCCTTGCACATGCAAGGCGACAGACGGTTCCTTTGCAAAAGCCCTTTATTCACCAAAGGATACCCAATGATCTCAATCCCCACAAAATGTGTCTCCGAGCGTGCTCAGAGCAGTTCATTGAACCCAATCAAAAAAGAGTTTCTGGAAAAGCTCTCCGAATTGCTAACGGGCTAGCCCTCCCATCCCAGTGCCACATCATAGGGTCAAGAGTGGTACCAGCTTCATCTGACTCTAAGATCTGCTCTCATGTGCCCCCACCCCTGACAACTGTGCATCTTAGGTTTATACGTCTGAATATTTGGGGAGAGAGGACTTGCTGGGAAAAGTGCATCCACTTTTCCCAGTAATCCCGGGCCCCTCTGCCTCCAACCTCCTCCCCCTGTGATGAGTCCAGACATGACAGGGTTCAGATTAAGGCCCAGATTGTGTGTAGGGAAAGAAAACTGAAATGTTTGTGAAGCTGTTGAGGGCATGAATGTTTTCAGAATTATCTTGTGCAAGACAACACCCATACAGCTGTCCTTTTCAAACTCTATCTGAAGAGATGGGTATTTCAGGATTACATCAGGGTTTGGATTAAGGCCCAGGTTAAGATCAGGGTTAGCAAATGGAGGTGCACATGCAGCTGTCGAAACTTGGACCATGTTCAGAATGACAGAAAGAATGAGCTGTGCAGAAAAACATCTGCAAAGTGGTCAGTTAGGAAATCCATTTTGAGGCATGGATATTTTGGCCTTACGTTAACAATTGGGTTAAGGCCCAGGCTAGGGTCAGGGTTAGCAAAGCAATGGTACCTATGAAGCTGCTGAGGCTTGGAACAGGGTCAGAATGGGAAGAAAAATTAACTGGACAGAGGCACTTATACAATACAGGCATTCTGAAATCAGTTAACAGGCATGAGTACTGCACTCCCACATTAGGGATAGGGTTAAGACTGAGGTCAGAGTTAGGGTTGGAAAAATGGTAGTTGCCATGAAGCTGTCAAGGCTTGGAATGCATTCTGGATGGGCAGGAAAGAATGAGCTGTGCAGAGAAACATCCACATAGCAGGCGGCTTTTAAAATATGCTTTGAGGACTGTGCATTTCATTCCTACTGCTGGGTTAGGGTTGAGACCTAGGTTAGGAACAGGGTTGGAAAAACTATGGTCCCTGTGAAGCTGCTATCCATTGGGCTAAGTTCTGGGTGGGAAGAATGATTCAGTGTTGCAGAAAAACATCCACATAGAAGGCATTTTGGAATCCTTCAGGCAGGGTCCTTTACGCCACATACTTGGGTTCTGGTTAAGGCCTAGGAAAACATTCACAAAGTGGGTATTTTGGAGTCTGTCTTGCAGTATGGGTATTTCAGCCCTACATTAGGGTTTTGGGTTAATGCCCAGGTTAGGTTTAGGGTTGGGAAAATGATGGTCCATATGAAGCTGTCAAGACTTGTAATGTGTTCTAGGCGGGAAGAAAGATGGAACTGTTTAGAAAAACATCCACAAATCCATTTTGGAAATCCATCTGGACTAGAGGCGTTGGTATTTTCCCTCTCCTTGGTCAAATCCCTGGTTAGGATCAGGGCTAGAAAAACAATGGAACCTATGAACAGGCCAAGGCTTGCCATATGTTCATATAGGGAGAACAAATGAGCTGTGCAGAGAAACATGCCCAGAGTAGGAAATGTGTAGCTCCATCTTGAGGTATGAGTATTTCTGCCCTAAATTAGGGTTGGGGTTAAGGGTTACGGTAGGATTAGGATTAGAAAAACAATGGTCCCTGTGAAGTTGTTGAGGCTTGGAATGTGTTCTGGATGATCCCATTGAATGAGTTGTGCAGAAAAACATCCACATATCAGGCATTTTTATACCCATCCTGACGTGTGTGCATTTAAGGCCCACGGTTGGCTTAGAGCTAGAAAACCCAGGTGCACATGAAGATTTCAAGGTCTGGAATGTGTTTAGCATGGGAGAAAGAATTTGCTGAGCAGAAAAACATACAGAAAGCAGGCTTGTTGAAATCTGTCCTGAGGCAGGGATATAGTAGACCCATATTAGGGTTAGGGTTAGGGTGAAATTTTTTAGGTTGAAATTTTTTATTTAAATAAAAACTTACCACAAAAGTTACAAAAGTTACAAAACTTGCAACATTACAATTCAAAATTTACAAAATTTCAAAATTACAAATGTACAGACTTACAAGAGTTCCAAAATTTACAAATCAAATTTACAGAAAGAACTTTCCCTTTGATATGTTAGGGTTAGGATTAGGGTTAGGGTTAGGGTTAGGGTTAGACAAACCCATGTGCATTTGAAGAAAGTGAGGCTTGGAACATGCTGCATTTCCATGCTTGACAGGAAGAATTATATTTTTCTCCTTCCCTTCTAGAAAGTCCCTTCCCTGGCAGCATGCATGGATTTTGTGCTGAATGGGGAGAAAGATACTTTGGGGGACTTCCAGATAAGGCTTTGATTGTTTAATGGCCTCGCCTCATTCCCAGAAATTGACCCATTAAGGGGAAATATATTTCTTCCATATGGAACGCTTGCGTCCATATATGCCCTCCCACCCCTTGAGATTGGCAGCAGAGGCCCTTCTCCAGGAGCCCTCCGTGAAGGAAATTAGGAGGTGAGTACCCGGAGGAGGGCTTTCTCTGTGGTGGCGCCCCACCTATGGAATGCGCTCCCCAGAGAGATCCGCCTGGTGCCGTCGTTATTTGTTTTTCGGCGCCAGGCGAAGACCTTTTTATTTAAAACTTATTTTAAGTGTTAATTTATTATGTAGGATTTTTTAAAAAAATTCAAGCCGAGATGCACCGGGTTTTAATATTTGTAGTGTATAATTTTTGTATGATTTTGTTTGTTTTTGTTGTGAGCCGCCCCGAGGCTTTGTTGCGATGGGGGCGGCATAGAAATGTTTTAAATAAATAAAAATAAATAAATATTCAGACTGGTACTCTTCCATCTGGAAGCACCCATCTCTTTCTACCTTAGCACTCCCTGCATGGAAACACAGACTCTTACAGTTTGATTGCATTTCTGACATCCAATCTAAATGTTCTGCACTGCAACTTGTTACAGCCGCTGTTTCTTTCCTAAAAGCAGGGAGGATGGGAAGGAAGGTTGTATAAAAGCACTATCTAGGCTGGCATACAAGAGTCACACTATTGTGTCCAGTTAGTTGAAACAATGCCAGTTTTTCTAGAGGCGTATTCTGTGTTTATAGTGCTATCCTAAAGCAGTAGCTTCATTTAAATTAATGGAACCATTCTGGAATAAACTGTTTGTGGATCATGGCCTAATACTGTGATTCTGTGTCTGTGTGTGCACACGTGTGTGTGTGTGTGTGTGCATATGCACACGTGCACATGCATGCTTTTGACAGCATGAAGGTTTATAGCATGGTCAGTACAGTTAAATTCCACATGAAACAGTTTGGTCTTCATTGTTACAAAGGTATAACTTCCTTTATGCAGTCAATCCATCTCATGCTCGGCCTTCTGCTTCTTCTGCCTTTGACATTTCCGAGCATGATTGTCTTTTCCGGTGAGTCTTTTCGCAATGTGCACAAAGTGTGACAGCTTCAGTTTAATCCCTTTTGTTTCCAGAGCAAGTTCTGGCTTGGTTTGGTGTAGCAGCCACTTATTCATCTTCCTGTTGGCCCAGCATATTTGCAAAGCTCCCCTCCGGCACCAGGGTTCAAACTTATCAATTTTCCTCCTGTCAGCTTTCTTCACTATCCAGCTTTCACATGTGTATATAAAGATTGGGAATAGTATGGATGATCCTGGACTTGGTCCTTACACTTGATGATCTTTTCTAGTTCCACCATTGCTTTCCTTCCAATCACTCTTTGAATTGATTATTGAGCCAAATCTGCAAAAACTTTCACAACTCCAGTTTCTTCACTGTTGACATTAAGGTTGTGAAATCCTTCTGCAGTCAAGATTTTTGTTTTCTTCATGTTCAGCTACAGTCCTGCTTTTGTTCTTTCTTCTTTCACTTTCATCAGGAGTTGTGCTAATTGCTTGTTGCTTTCTGCCAGTAATATGGGATCTTCTTCATATCTTAAATTATTGATGTGTCTTCCACTAATTTTCACTTGCCTTCCCCTGATCCTAATCTACCTTTCCTTGTGATGTATTCTGCAGACAGATTGGGAAGATACAAATGCCTTCGCCTATAGGAAACCATGCTTTTTCTCCATAGTTCTGTCCTATCAGTAGCTTCTTGTTCACCATGCAGGCAACACGTCAGGATAATCAAGTGCTTAGGCACACTCATTTCTTTCAAGACCATCCGTGTTTCTTGTGATCCACACAGCCACAGGTTTTTCTGTAGTCTGTAAAGCAGAGACTGATCTTCAATTCTCTGGTGCACTCCAGTAGCCAATGCAATATGATCTCAAGTCCATCTTCCTTTTTGGAATCCAGCTTGAACATTAGACATACAATGTAAAGGACTTGATTGCAATACCGTAAGCATCACTTTGTTTGCCTGGGAAATTAGTACAATGGTCCTATATCCTTACAAGAAGGCCTGCATGCCTTTGCATTTCCTTTCTTGGGGATTGGAATGCATATTGAATGATTCTAATCTCTGGCCATCATTTTGTTTTCCATATTTGTTGCCATATTCCTGTTAGGATTTGAACTGATTTAGTCTCTGCAGGTTAGAATAGTTTTATTGGGACCTAATCTGCTCATGATGCTTTATTCCTTCCAAGTGTTTTCAGAGCAGCTTTCTCCACTTTTTAATATTGCAGGTTCTTCTTCATAGGATTCCTCTTTGAAAGAGTCTGCCACCCTGTTCTCTTTTCTGTATATTATTTCTACCTTCTCTTTATTTTCTCCTCGTGTGATGGTGTGCTCCCTTCTCGTATGTTTCAGAATTCCTCCTCTAGGTTTGAATTTGAATTCTTGGATCCTCTGGAAGAGGTATCCTGTTTGTCCTCTTTTGTTGTTCTCCTCTATTTCTTTGCACTGGCCATTGTAATAGTTCTTTTTATCTCTGTGTGATAGTCACTGAAAGATTGCATTTAGCATTCTGACCCTATTTTTGCCCCTTACTTTCTGCTTCTTGCCTATCCTTAGTTACTGGGTTTCTTCTGCCCTCCATTTAGGGGTGTTTCTCTCTCTCAGTTGCTGCTACAGGAATTGTCTTTTTGCATTCTTCCATACAAATGTCTCCAGTATCATTTCACAGATTCATGTTCAATTGAGTTCAGTAATGCAGATCTGTTCTCCTCTGTGTGCAAACATTCTTCAAGAATGTTTAGTGAGATTTTGGCAGTATGCTTCTGTTAGTTATCTCCAGGTTTACTCTAATTTTTGGTATTACTAGTTAGTGGTCACTACCACAACCTGCTCCTGGTCTTGTTTGGCAGTGGGAATACAGCTTCTCCACCTCTTCTTTCTAATCAGTTAGTCTATTTGATTTCTATTCTGGCCATCTGGGGATGCTTTTGTGTATAGTCATTGGACTGGTTGCCTGAAGTATGTATCCGCTTGTTGATTGTTGGCTTCACAGAATTCTGTGAGTCATTCTCCTGCTTCATTTCAGGCTCCTAGGCTAAACTCTCCCATATTCTGGCCAAATTCTAAATATGCTCGACATTTACTCCAGTATATACAGTCATCAATGTAATCCATGCACCCAATTCCATGATAACTTACAAGGTATTTTTGTTGGAATGTAGGCATTATCTCTACTGACAATTTGATCTGCACCATGCTCCCAGTGAGTGAATTTCTTTTTTGCATAACACCTTGGCTTACTTCCATCACTGCTGCGGATAAGGACGGATCTGCTCACAGCC